GTGTGGGAGGCAAGTAGGGGTTGGGGGGGAGAGAATGAGGTGCTGGCCGATTTGGTCAGGGAAAATAAATTATAGACCAACTTTCATAAATGGCTGCCCGATTAATATTCTTTTGTTTAAATTTAAATTAGCCCCTCTGGCCTCGCTTGAGATAATGTATTCTTTTGAATTTTGTACTGGAGAACGTGGCCAGAAGGGCTAATTTAAATTTAAACAAAAGAATATTAATGTGGCAGCCATTTGTGAAAGTGGTCTATAGTGAAAGAAAAAGCCAAAAGAGAGATATAATTAAATACAAGATAAGAAAGAAGCAAAAAAATTGACAGAGGGAGCCTGGATGTGCATGTTTGCTTGACTATTTTCCAAACCAATAATTATGATATACAGGCTAGAAGGTTAGATAGAAACAATTTCTATCTGAACTGAAGTCTTAATCATCTCTTTTTATTAAAATTGAGAATGTAAATTTTGTCTAATAGTTTAAATCTTGTTGGTCGAACAGTGTAATTGGAGTAGTTATTTCCTCTTTGAATAATGGATTGGTTGAGTGATGCGGAAAAAAAGTTTTATAGGGGATGGCCTCATAGCTCTTGTGTGTCTAAAGGGTTTGGGAGACCATTTTCCTGTGATGCAGGACGGCTTAGAATGACTAACCCCTTTTCAAAGCGTGAGGATTTGATTCATCAGTTCGTTCAATGCAATTTGCAAAAGGTAAAGATTTAAATTTTCATGCACCCATGAAAGTGACGAGGTACTGACAAGTCTTAGAGATTCCTTTTGGTGAGGTTTGATTGAATAAATTGGAGGCAAAAGAAACTGAATGATTATGAAGTTTCACATCGAAGTCACCATCTCAACGTAACAGTAACCACTCGTAATAATAATAATAATAATAATAATAATAATAATATAATAACAATAATAATATAATAGTAATAATAATAATGAATGATTACACAGGATAAACACTTAGTATCTAAGTACTGTTATCAAAGGGATCCTGATTAAATGATAAAAATGAAAATAGAATAAAAACGAAACTAAGATAAAATGTCTTTTGCTAACGGTAACCTATGGTAACAACGCTATACAAAATAAATTAGAGCGCTGCACTAGTATCGTAGAGGTCAGTGGTTCGAATCCCGTACAGGCCTGATTTTTTTCAGGTCTGATTTTCGCTATTGCTTAAATAGCGCTATCTTCTACGAGGATCCTGCGTCATATGTATCTAATACCGCAGTTCATAATATTTGAACTTCATATATTTCATTGTATCTCATACAAAATAAAATTCATCAAGGGAATCTCAATTAATATCTTAATTCTAATCTGCCTGGTTTTTTGCATATTCTCCATACCGTTCTCTATACATTTTCTACAGTGCGAACAAGCTAATTTACTGTCTACTTCTAATCTGCCTGGTTTTTAACGCTTTACACCCTAACATCAGTATGCATATTCTCGATACTGTTCTCTACACATTTTCTGCAGTGCTCATAAGGAGAATTTTCTTAACAAACGGGACTTTCTTTAGTTGTGAATCGTTTTCTTTATCCTCATGATCTAAATGTGTGGTTTTGGGGTGATAATGTAAGGAGAATTTGTATACTTGTCACTCTAAGGTGTTAAAGAGGGAGGTAAAGGAGGGAGGGGGGGGGTCAAGATCACGTTTCACGGAGAATGAATTGGTCCTTTCACAGTTTACGATCACTGAATTACTGTCGAAACTACAACCAAAATCACAGTTCACAACGAATTAAATACTTTTTTTTTCATTTCACGGAGAATTATTCTGGAAAATCACGGTTGAAGGTTACTAATAAAATCACGATTCACGAGAAAAAAAAGCCATTTCACGTTTCACGGGGAAAAAATGGGCCATTCACGAATCACGAAAATATTCTTTACCACCCTCGATAAAGGTAAAGGGTTGAAAGATGAAGCGCCTATAAAATAAAGACTTTTCTGTTCCAAGTCGAGTTTCAGTGTCCCGGCTTGGACAGTAATTTAAGCCATTGGGAACTTTCACACTTTGATTCTCATGTTGAGCAAAAAGGAGAAATTTTGCAATCAGGATTGTTATTTTGAGTTTTCCTTCAAATGGGATTGAAAAATAAAAGGATGCTAGATGATGCTCGTGGCTCACTTGGGGGTCATCTCTGAAGCACTGAGGCAATAATGCTTAAACTAAGGACCCCTTCGCCTTTAAGTCTGACATTTATTTGACTAGTGCTGAAATAATTGAAGGAAGACTTCTAGTAAAAAAAAATAATGATTTTACAAAATTTTTACGTTTGCCCGCTGATGTTGGCAAACTTACTCACACGGAGCCCTTGAATTTACCTTGAAGTCATTGTAAAGCGTTTAATCCTGACATCAGCTACAACTTTCAATTTGTGTCACTTGTTTTGTTTACTTTTTTTCCCTTTTTTTTAAAGCTGTTATGCTTCAGTGACACAGTCCAACTTGTGCTGAAATTTCCTTTCTTCTAATTAATTGGATATCAACCATCCTTGCATATAAATGTACAACGGGCATCGTGCTGTTAACCGGCTTAGAAATATATATAAACTACGTGTAATATATGAAACAAAAAAGAAAATTCCGCACACTTATGTTAGGTTCATACACGGCAAACCTGCAGTTTGGAAATCTAATTAAGGTTAGTGAGCCTATCAAATGTTTTGGTTCTGTTGTTCATATCTAGATTTATTCTTAGCATGCACCTGTTTGGTTTAACTGAACGCCATTAACTTTATGATAATGTCTTATCTTGTTATTTTTTTTTTCCTCAGCTTGTGTAGTCAGTTCAATCATAAAAATTAAAATCGAAACTCTTGGCCTAATATAACTTTTGATCAAGTTTTTTTCGTTGTCACTCAGGAGGTGTGAAAAGTTTCTGTCAGCGCATTCGCATGAAGTACGCATGGTGCTTAAATCGATGAAAATCCACGATTGTTAAATTTAAGCCTGGCTTTAATCCAGTTGTAGGAATCTATTTGAATTCGATTTCCTTGACAAGTCATTAATTCAAGGTAAGGACGGACTGACACGAATTTCAAACACTGGACCCGCAAAATTTGCATTGCTCGGCAATTTAAAGGGTTGTATTGTCCCACTGTCAAAGTATTTATGCTTGGAAAATTAACGACCACACGAAGTCGAAATTGCCCTGAACAAAATTCGTCCGCTCGCCTTCACTGGCGTGTCCGTAGTTTTTATGGGAAAATATGGCAACTTGATTCCGTCTAATCAGCTGCGAAATTACTTTTGTTATGGAAAGGCATGAGAGAGCGAACAAAAAAATAGCTTCGATTTGGAAAATGGAGAGCCCTATGATGTTGCTAACGCCGGAAAGTTCCGCAAATATTGGCCGAGAGATGGAAGGAAAAAGCGAGTCTCCAGAAGCTAGCCCGCCGATGGAAGTCGGCAGACGAAGGGGCTCCAACTGCCGTCTTCCAAGCCTAGCAACATTGGTGAGAAATTCATTTACTTTATAATTTCTTTTTTTTCAAATCAATATGAAGAACTTCACATACTGAAAATCGCGCATTTTAAATAATTGCTGCAATACGACTCTGTGACATTCATTCCAATCAGAGATTTGTCAGGAAGCAGATTTATCTTCATTTATCATTTTCGTTGAGTGCATTATGTTTTTTTTTCTAGAGCTGGCTCTGCTAAAAAAGGCTCATTTTAGAATGGAAATAAACTAATATGGGCGAATATTACTTCAGCTACATGTTACGTTTGAGGCTAAATGTGTGGTCTGAGTTGCTTCTTTTTTGTCCCTGAAAGAAAGAAAATTCGCCATGAAAGTCGCGTCATCATCGTACTGCTGCACCACCACCAAAAAAAAATTGTTTTATGTGTTTTTCAAAAATCATAAATACCGCACCGTGTTTTCTCTTGCCGTAAGGCTTCTCAATCAAAATTCAGCTGAGGCCATTTTCATGATTATAAGAGTGAAGAGGTCTTCGACATCTTTTTGTTTCATAGCCTTTACAATTGGTTTAATGACACGCGAAAACACCTCCATAGCGAAAAGGACCGAACATAGCATTTAAAGCAAGAGGGTATTAGAGAGTTGTGATGAGGTTATAATTAATACTGGCTTCGGTGTTTTCGGTAGAAATGCATTTAAATTATAACTGGAACATGCAGATTTATCTGTTTTTCCAAGGAGAAACTTCGGAAGCTGTGTAAAGAAAAGTCAGGCAGACTTCGACGGCTGTATTTGAACTTGGAACCAATGTTTATGCCGCTTTCAGTGAATTTTTTTTTTTTTTGAGCTACTTATTGAAAAAAACCTCTATGCGATCAAAGAAAATATTTAACAAATTCATAAACAGCGGTTCAAAATCAAAAATAGTATCCATTATATTTGCGCGGTTTATCGAGAATGTGCGCCGGAAACTGGAAGGGAACACGAATCATAACGAAAAGTCAAACAACGTTGTGGCTACACCTGAGAGAGCTTCGCTTACGTTATAAATTAGATTTTATTTAAAGAAGGAAAGTAAACTTATATACAGTCAGAATCCCTTGACATGCAAATGGCTTGTGGGCTGTAACATCCAGATACATATATTTATACAACTTCTTTCTTTTGCTACATGCTGCGGGGCAATAAGATAGAAAGGGTCTTTACATAATGACCAATATGAATTTTAAAAGAATCTCACAATCAATGAAAAGCTGGCCAAAATTTTGGAAAAGCAAGGATTGTTTAATTAAATATCAGAATTTCTTTCAAGGAGAGTTCCTTCTCAAAGGAGAAAGAATGATCTGAGCTGAAAAAATTGGCAGTCTTCGCTATGTTTTCAAATTTTATAGTTTTTGCAATCTCGTCTCTACGACTTGATCAAAACTTCCAAGATCTTGCCCCAAATGGATTCTGGCTCGCCGAAAAGACCAAACAAAACCCTGTTACAAGGTCTTGCAGCTCCATCTTTGTCGTTCCTGATTAGTCAGTCACAAGACATGGAATTTGTGAACAAGTAAGCCGGAAAACTCTCGAAATAATGGCGAAGTCGTTTGGAAGCTGGCTTGGCGCCGTGTAATTGCGACGATCAGTAATCATGATTACCTCACTTAATAATTTGGATGTATCAACAAAGTTGAAATGGTAAATTGGCCACCGTAACGATTACAAAAGCTGACGTTTCGAGCGTTAGCTTTTCGTCGGAGCGAATAGAGGAATTGTAACGAATTATTTCGTTACCCCCACCGACGCCGCCCCAAACAGTTTCTTTAGAAACTATCAGCCTTTATTCATTACCTCACTTAGTCTTTTCAATAGTCTTATTTACTTATATGATCTCAACCTTGTTGATACATGCTGATTGCCATTTTGAGGATTAATACACATAAAGGAAATTCTCAATCGGTTCAGGTTTGACATTTGATCCCAAAAATCTCGATCAATTTCAACGGCTCTTTTTGGATTCTTTGACTTTCCACTGAGTTCAAAATGTCCTCGCTTAGAAATTTCTAGTTTCACTTCCAGTTGCTAAGAAACGGAAAATCCGCAAACTGCATCAAACACTAAAAAAAACCGAAAAACCGATTTGAAAAATAACCAAAACAGCAAAACCAGAAATCCCAATGCCCCCACTTCATGGGTGGATAGCTTCTGGCTGAAATGACCTGAATTGCTGCTTGTGTTAGGCTGATGATCTTCCAAGAGTCATGATTACGCGTAAGGCATCGTAATCATTGAAACAACCGTTGATAAAACTGTAGACTTTGTCGTTGCGTGTTGAAAGATATTAATTGACCGCAAATCAAGTGAACTAGATTTTTGGAATATTAAGGGACACTTCAAAGCGTTTTGATGAGTACCTTATTTTTATTAAAAACGAGCTTTTAAAATGTGGCGAAACGTTATCACTCCACCTCTTCGCCCGACGAAGATTAGCAGTACGTGAATATCGCGAACCAAGGAAAGAGAATATTATAGTCCCAGTTCGTTTCTTTTTCACGATCTAGTCACTCCTTTTGTAATCAGTTTTCATACTCAGTCCATGACACTTGCGTTGTTCGTAGCGAGAGCACTGAGCACCATTTTCTTCTTTGAGTTTAGAATTGCCTTTAATTTTCTTTGCCCCCTAAAAATCTCTAGTTTTGTATCCCCAGTCTATGATTCCGGTTTCTCAGGACTGTCTTTGACATTTAGTTTTCGGTTTTGTTTTTTAAGAAAATCGTTCAGCTGGTTTTGTTTTTGGTCATTAGTTTGTTTAGATTTTCCAAGGGTCGTCTTAAATCTTGGGTGTTGATCCTTACTTTGAGTGGTTCATCCATCGTGATAGAACTTTTAGCCGGTTTTCAGAATTTTAACATGCACCAGTGTTTCCCTCTTTCTGAATTGAGTGCTTCTCTAGAGCTAGGAAAACCAGGGAATTTTTTTTTGTTGTCAAAATCACTTCTATCGATAATAACTGTAAATAGAATAATTCCAATTATAGTAAAAATAATATGATAATGACGATGAGAGCGACCGACGTTTATTTAGAGGACGCTTAGAAATGCTTAACCTGCAAATAACAAAAAAGCAGCAGAAAACAACACGATCAGATTTTAATATAAACTGCAAGATAATGAATAAAAATAAAACAAAAAGAGAGAATTAAACGTCACGGGTCTCCCGGTGAAGGATATTCTCCAGCAGAGACATGATAGAAACATGATGGATAATACACAAAATAATTTGATCGAATCCAACTTAGAAAAGATAAATAAGGCTTTTTCAGTGTAGCTCTGTTGGCCTAGGGGCGTAGCCAGGATTTTTCAAGGGGGGGGGGGTCAGAGAGGCTACTCACCATTTACACCGCTGCTCAGTGGTATTATCGCGGCATGAAGGCCCATATTAACTAAATACAAGAGCCGTTGTCGAAAATACTTTCCAAAAAAAAAATTTTTATAAAAGTGGGCTTTTCAACAATGGCTTTTACGGCCAAGATATTGTTATGGCGTTTTCGCCACCTGAATATTGTAGGTTGTTTGCTCTGAAGAAGGCCTACCAAATGGGGGTCACGGGCACCCCAGGACCCCCCCTGGCTACGCCCTTGTACCTTTGTATTTTTGCTAGCTTTTAGAGATGCTAGAGAGCTCGTTCCATTCTCTTGTCATTCTCGTGAAAAAGGAAATAAACGGTTACGGGAATAACATAATTTCTATAGCGACCAAACTGAATAACAGCATATATTGTTTTCAACATTTTTAATCAGTTAATTCAGTCGAGGAATCGCTTACTAATGTTTCATATCAAGCTGTTAAGCTGCACATGTGGTCTTATTGGAAATTTTTTTTGTGACTGCTGGAGTGCATTTCATTTCAATTATAGAACGTGTTGTTTCACTGTTCTAATCCTGCTGGCCAATTGCGCTGCTGTTGTTGCATATGAGGTTTATTTGTGAGTAGATTTCTCTAGAATAAATACACGACGGAATTAATGTGGTTTTTGGCAAACATTCAAGAATGAAAATTAGAGGCATTGGACTTCGTTTCGATATATCATCTCGATATCATTTCAAGAGAAAAGTGAAATTCGTTACACTAACTGATACACGCAAAAATTGTGTTAAATTTGTTCAGTGTATATTACGTAACTAATCTAATTTTACTACATCAAGATGATATCGGAGACTTCGATAAATTCTGTTTATTTCTCTTCCTAAACCGTGGAATCATGTAAAATAAGCGGAACTTGAACGAAATATGTTCTTTCTAGCCTAGTCGTTAACTTGGCAGTTAATTTGGAATACGTCATTCCACTTTTATCCTCCGTAGTTTCCTAACAGACCAAAATTAGATTCATCGAATTTGGCATATGAAATGTGGCAGGCAAATTCATCTACAAATTTGATTGTCTTTTTGTGATTCCGCTTACGTTTCCAAGTATTTAAAGGGAATCTTTTATATGGTTACACTAAGCATGTTTCAGTACTACTTGGGAAAAGATTACTTCGACCATTCATTTATCTAAAATGTTGACGCACCGTATGGTAAATTTTGCATTTGCTTATCAAATTATCTCCTTCATGTAATTAATCAATTTTTCATATTTCATGCTTTTCCACTCGTAACTTTATACGTTTTATTGTAAATATCAATGTTTCCCATCCGTGAGGTACTCATGACAAATAAAATCGTGAACTCATAAGATTTACTGATTAAGTTTTTATTGGCAATTTCATTGCTTTTGGTTTTTACATGTAAATCATAAATGAAACTCAAGTTTATTGTCAATCAACTTTGCTGATACAGAAATGAAATTTCAAATACTCGTATCATAAAGCAAGGGCAGCCTAATTGGACTCCCTTTCGTAATGGCTATTACTATTGTTATTTTATAGGTCTGATGGACTGGTTTAATTTCGACATATTGCTTTGTTCAATGCAGAGCTTGATGTGAATATATGACACATCAAAATGCACATATATAGGCTATATGCATTATTCATACTTCCGAAAT